AAGAGAGACCACACCCAAGAGAAAGCTCAACTTCATCATTCAGAGAACCACCACAAAACCCTTCCCACCATAAAAAAAAAGTCACCACCTCTAACCTTTACAAGACAATACCCACCACAAAAAACCAAACCCACATAAATCCCTACCTTGACGATGAACTAGCCACTCAAGTAGCAACTTTACGTAAAGAGCCTGTTGAGCTCAAGAAAGAAAAGAACAAAGATCTCCAATGGCTACAAGATGACCATAACTCCCTCACCCTCTAATCATAAATTAATATACCCACCTCTCTGAAACTTTCCAAGGAGATCTACAATAAGCTCATTAATCCAAAGGATCACTTGGATCATTTTAGAACTTTCATGGATTTACACGGTTTATATGCAATATAATGCAGGGTTTTCTTTACAACCCTGCGAAAAAAAGCCCACGCATGGTTTTATTCCATGGCCCCAACTACTATGGCAGCTTTGACACCCTTAACAGACAGTTTTTAGCCCATTTTTTGAGCCACAACTTGCAGAGCACTCATTTATGAGCTTATTTACCATAAAGTAAAAACCTAATGAAACTTATGACAATACTTTAAAAGGTTTAACATGACCATGCTGGAGATCAAAGACCTTAACATTGAATGAGCTATCCAAGCTTTTACCAGTAGGGTTAGGCATGATCACATAAGGTATTCTTAGACAGAAAACTAGCCTGAACAGTTATACCAACTCTATGAAAGACCTTAGAAGTTTGCTTGAGTTAAGGATATTAGGGTAGCAGACAAAGCTTAAAGGCATGAACAATGTCCCAAGTGTCTGCGAGGTGATAAAAGGTGGATAAATACTCTAAGCCAACGGTTCTGTGACAATCACTAAGCCTATAACCAGCCTAAAAGAAGATATTGGCAAAGCAATAGTAGTTGCACCTCCCAATAACAGTCTAACCACCATCAAATTCCAAATCAAACCCTTAATGCCATAACACAAGGGCCCACCCAAAGATTCAACTAAAAAAAACCAGTGAGGCCCCTTGGAACCCCCACTGAAATGACACTACAATTATCATTCAATTAGGGGGCACTCCACTAACGAGTGCATTGCCCTTGAAAATGAGATAAACACTCAACCCACTCGCTATGATAATCACTACAATAACTCCCAATTCGCCTAGTATAAAATACACCCACTCGCCAACAGGGTGAGAGCTCATCCCACTAAGATGAAGAAGCTCACCAAGCAAAAGCCACTGACAAATGCCTAGTCCAAGGAATAATCCATGTTATTGTAGGGGCAACAAAGGACTGGTCTAATAACAAATAAAAATGCAAATCCCACTTGCATAGTGTTATGACCATTGATACGGCTTTCAAAAAGTAAAAATAAAAGAATAGCAAGTATAATTCTCAAAAGATGATATTGATATTTTAGTGGATAATGATAATGATCCCATAATGGTCTCGTTAACCATTGCTAATTACCAAATGGAAAGGATCTTAGTAGATAGTGGCAGTGTAGTGGATCTAACGCAATACTAAGCATTTAGGCAAATAAGATTTTTTTGACAATGACTTAAGGCCATCGGGCTTATTTTTTGTTTTGCCAACCAACCTACCCTGGTTAGAGGTTCTATCACCCTGCCAATCATTATGGAAGATGGCGAACACATGCTCACCAATTGGTAGATTTTTTTGGTCGAAAACCAACCTTTAGCATACAATGTTATTTTTGGTAGACCATTCATGAAGAAAGCCAAAATGGTGACAGTTATTTATTACCTGAAGGTTAAGTTCCCCATGCCCGTAAGGGTAGGATTCATGAAAACCAACCAAGTCACAACCCACTAATGCCATTTGTTAAGCCTTCAATTGACACGGATTGAAACAAATAACAAATACATCATTCCCACCACCAAAAGAACCTGCAACACAATCCAGTCCCTCACCCTCAGTCCATCTAATAAACTCTGCATTAGCCCAAATGCCCAACATAGACTGTTTAGACATTTACAATGAAACAAAAGAGTCCAAGCCTTGCCCTATAGAGCAAACAGTTCCAGTTTAGTTATATTCACCAAACTTAAAGTTAGTTACTTAAACAGGTTCATTGTTGGACCCTAAAGCAAGGGCATATTACATAGGTTCTTGCAAAGTAATACAAACGTGTTTGCTTGGTCTGCTGCAGATATAACGAGTATAGGCAAGCTTGTTATCACTTATTATTTGAATGTGGACCTAGCCAACAAGCCAGTGAAGCAAAAGAAAAGACAATTTGCCCCTAAACGAATAAAGACGATTAGGGAAAAAGTTGACAAGCTAAAGGTGGCTGAATATATTACAGTGGTAAGAATACCTAGATTGGTTGGCCAACGTCATTTTGGTGAAGAAGGCAGCTAGAAAATGATGGATGTGTGTGGATTTCACACATTTAAACAAGGCATACAGTAATGATAACTTCTCTCTACCCTCAGTTGATAGATTGGTAGACTCCTCAATAGGTCACAAGCATTTGAGTTTCATGGATGCCTTATCTGGGTATAACCAGATTAAGTTGGTAAGAGCAAACCAGGATAAGACATCCTTGGTCACTGAAGATGGTTTGTTTTGCTACAAGTTCATGCCCTTCTGGCTCAAGAATGCAAGAGCCACCTATCAGAAGTTGGTTAATAAGATTTTTAAAGAGTAGATTGGCCAGTCTTTGGAGGTGTATTTGGATAACGTGCTGGTCAAAAACCCATCATTGGAGCAACATGTACAAAACCTGGCAGAAGCCTTATCTATCCTGAGACGATAAAATATTGAAGTTGAATCATGCCAAATGTATTTTTTGCATAGAGGCAGGTAAATTTTTTGGGTATATGGTTGCTAACAAGGATATCGAGGCGAACCTTTGAAGGTAACAGCCATTTTGGATATGAATCCCCCGCGAACTACTAATGAGATGTAAAGACTAACAGGCGAGTGGCAGCCCTCAACTAGTTTTTATCCAAATTAGCTAACAAGTGCTTACCTTTTTTCAAAGTTTTTCAAGTGCAACCAAATTCAAATATGATGACCAATGCAAGAAAACCTTCAAAGAGTTGAAGCAGTAGCTCTATTCACCCCATCTACTTGCCAGCCCTGTTCCTGGTGAACGTTTGTATATTGGTTAAAGAAGTAAATGGGAATCAAGTCCCAGCATATTATGCTAGCATAGCACTGCAAAATGGGGAAGTTAACTATACATGACTAGAAAAGATAGCTTTTGCACTGGTGACAACTGCCCGCTAACTAAGGTAGTATGGCCTCTCCTTCAACTTCTCTATCTCCAACAATGTAGTTGAGTATGATGGTTTATCTGCAGAGCTAGAACTGGCAACTAGCTTGAATGTGAAGGACTTGATTGTATACACAGATTCCAAGCTGGTTGCCTGCCAAAATTCATCTCTTTGGTCTTTGGCCAATGGTCTGAGGGCAATCACTTTATAAACCCCTTCAGACCTGGGGATAATTGTTACATCCACTAACTGTTGGTCAATATGGCCAACTTCCAATAACACTTAAACAGTGCACCAGTCGCCACATCATCGTTACTAAAAAAACTAGCTTGTTATCGCTAAGAAAAAGACTCGCCCATCGTTCCATTGATGTCCCGTCAAGATATCACTTAAAATTGATGACTTGATTTATAATTTATCTAAAATTATTAAATAAATTTCGTAATCATTCATGTAAATTTTTTTAAAAATTTTTATATTTTTATTTATTATCAATTATTTCAATCAAATTATCATCTTTTTTATCTCATGTATAAAATAAAAAAAAAAAAATCCATGTACGTGAAATAAGACACAAAACCATACTTCATACTTAAGTAGTTTCCCTCTATTATAGATTCTTACACATACCTCGCCTTCTCCTTCACCTTACCTTCATTACCTTACTGACTTGAGTGTCAGAGCTTATTCCAGAGAATTAACTCCAATGTCCCCTAGCCCTATTTTTTGGCTGTAGGTTCAAGTCATTCCACCTTTAACCTCCCAATGTCTCCTTTCAACTAAGACATCCTGAAAACACCATCAATAAAGTTTAAACTAGAAACTTTCTATTTTAAATCGGAGTAAATTTTAATATTATTGAGTTGACAATTTCTTTTTCACTTTTGCATATAGTTAACTTTACGGTGGTGTGATCTTAATGAAGTATAAAACTTTTAGTTTAATGAAAATTAAAATTCAATCTTTTACGATTTCAATTAAAAAAAAACCCCTCTTAGGCCATATATTAATATACATATTGCTATGATTCATGCTAGAAGATTGGCATAGTTGAATTCTTAGTTTAAAGTTTGGGAGAATGATTTAACCCATAAGTTATTTATGGAGAAAATAATGTAGTATGAATAAGTTATAGGAACAATCATGCATCTTCTTCAACTGAGTCAAATTAATCTCAATCTTGCATTTTATATACAAAGGATTCATATCATCTATCCTTTATTTTCATGTATACAATATGTTCTAGGAAGAGTAGTATTTAAGTTGTTTTTTATTTAACTTTCAGTGATTTAATTTTTTAAATATGTTTGATGATTTAATTTTAAAAATTCATTTCATGGAAAATTGTCAATATAAAATATCGAAAATATTAAGTACTTAAAAATTAATTAATAGAAATTTTCTTTTTTTTTTGCCAAGAATAGAAAATTATGCTCTTTTGCTATGGGTATTTTGGTTATAATAATACATGATAAATAGCCGTTATAATTTACAACCGCTATAGAGTTGTCAATTCTTTTTCTGTTCATGCAAATCTGAAAAAGTCAAAGTGTTTGAACAAAACAGACCTGCCTAGAATTTCCTTTGACGCAACTGAAAGCTAAATTTTATGTCTGACAGATTTATGTTTTCTTTGGCAGTAGCCAGTTAGCATTTGCCATATGGTTTAATGCCTCCCATTGAAAGTTTTCTTGTTCATGCATGCTAAAATAAAGGGAAATAAAGGGCAATACATGGTTAAGTGAGAGGTGGGAGAACGTTTGATTTGGACGGAAACAAAAAGATAAAAGAGAGTGAAGGAGGCCGAGAGTAGAAAATTTTATTTTCCTCATTTATCTTCTTCCTTCTCTCTTCCTCTCTTCCCATCAACAATCTTCTCTAACGATTGTTGTTGGGAATTTGGGATATCTACGTCCCTTTGAAATTAAGCTCAGACAGCTACCGAGGTGTTGCTCCTAAAAACAGGTGGGATTACATTGCTTATGTCTTCCATGATTCTGAGGATGTCATTTCACTTTTTATTCGTAACAAGTTTTTGATGAGTTTTACCAGGTTTACTTCTTCGCCCTTAATTGTTAAATTAGAAGCTACCATTCCAGTTACCTGGGTACTTAATTCTTAAATCCATGGCTCCAAGCAAGATCAGGAGAGCCCTTGGGCATGTCAAGGACCAGACAAGCATAAGCCTGGCCAAAGTTGGTGGCAGCACCTCACTCTCTGATCTCGATGTTGCCATTGTTAAGGCAACAAGACACGAAGAATACCCAGCCGAGGAGAGACACATTCGAGAAATACTAAGTTTAACCTCCTATTCTCGTGCCTACATCAGTGCCTGCGTTAACACCCTCTCCAGACGCCTCAACAAGACCGAAAATTGGACGGTGGCGCTGAAAACTCTTGTATTGATCCAGCGGCTTCTGTCCGAAGGTGATCCAGCGTACGAGCAAGAGATTTTCTTTTCAACAAGGCGTGGGACTCGCATTCTCAACATGTCAGATTTCCGTGATACTTCACGATCCAATTCCTGGGATTACTCTGCATTTGTGCGTACTTATGCACTGTACCTTGATGAAAGACTGGAATACAAGATGCAAGGAAGGCGTGGGAAAAGAAGCATGTATGGATGTGATGAAGAATTAGGGGAAGATCAGAATGAAAAGGCAATTGTTGTCAGATCCACACCAGTCCGTGAGATGAAGACCGAGCATTTGTTTTCAAGGTTGCAGCATTTGCAACAGCTCCTCGAGCGCTTCTTAGCCTGTCGACCAACAGGTTTATCGGGAATTAATTGGAAGAGCTTAATTCCATTGATGATATGAATTTATTTGATTTTCTTTTCAAATGTTAGTATATAATAGTAATTTGTTTTGCTGGATTGAAACAGGTTCAGCAAAATGCAACAGGGTCGTGATTGTGGCTCTTTATCCAATAGTGAAAGAAAGTTTCCAGATATACTACGACATAACGGAAATATTGGGGGTTTTAATCGACCGTTTCATGGAACTTGAAATTTCTGAATGCGTAAAAATCTATGAAATATTCTGCCGTCAAGGCAAGCAGTTTGATGAGCTTGAGAATTTCTATTCCTGGTGCAAGAGCATCAGCATTGCACGCTCTTCTGAGTATCCGGAAATTGAGAAAATCACACAGAAGAAACTTGACCTTATCGACGAATTAATCCGTGATAAGTCTGCGTTGGCACAAGGCATGGTAAATCAGGATGAACTAAAGGATGAATCGGAGCAGGAAGCCAAAGAACCCGAAGCAAGTGAAGAAGACATGAATGCCATTAAGGCGTTACCAGCCCCAGAAGATTTCTTTGAAGCTCCTGTTGAGGAAGAAATGAAGAAAGAGGAAAAGGAAGAAGATAATTCAAAAGCTATAGTTGTGCAACAAAAGGGTGATTTATTGAACCTAGGTGAGGACGCAATGTCAAGTCAAGACCACGCAGACAAATTGGCATTGGCTTTATTTGATGGTGGTGCACCAGTCGGTCCTCCACCAGGTCCACGATGGGAAGCTTTCAAGGATGAAGCTGATTGGGAATCAGCCCTGGTTCAATCAGCAAGCAACCTCACTAATCAGAGAGCGACACTTGGTGGTGGGTTCGACATATTATTGCTTGATGGCTTGTATCAACAGGGCCAAACAATGGCAGCCATGACTTCATCCGGTTATGCAGCAACCGGAAGTGCTAGTAGCGTTGCATTTGGATCGGCCGGAAGACCAGCAACGCTAGCATTACCTGCACCCCCATCGTCCGACGGTAAGAACACGGGATCAAACGGTGGTGATCCTTTCGCGGCGTCGCTTGCAATAGCGCCACCGCCTTACGTGCAAATGTCAGACATGGAGAAGAAGCAGAAGCTTTTGATGGAGGAGCAGGCAATGTGGGAGCAATACAAAAGGGATGGAATGCAAGGACATGTTGGAATGCCCAAAGCACAAGCATATCCGTACAACCAAGGATGGTGCACGAATGGCTATTCAATTCTTTAGTCTTAATTTTCCCTTTTGTTCGTGAGATTCAGATTGTTTAATCAACTCGATGCATCAAGAGATAAAAATTGGTGTCTCAAACTTTTGGTAGGAGAAATTTGTGTAATTCACCTGGACATGTGGCTTTGTAAACATACAAAAAATCTAATGAAATACTTTTTGCTTTTTTACCTTTCCCTTTCCTTTTATTAATTAATTTGATTCTCCCAAACTTTTCTTTTTCTTTCGAACTTTGATTGATCCAAAAAAAATTACTATAAAAAAATTTATTGAACTGAGCTACTGTGTTTAATTATTTTATTATGTTAGAGTTAAATAATTTGTAAGGATGTGTTGCCTAAATTTTATAGTTCATATTTGTATTCTTTTTGCCTAAATTTTTAATTTCATAAGCAGATTAAAAGATTGTTGTAATCTTATTTTTTTAATTAGTTTTTTTAATATAATTATATATAAAAGTATGAATTTTAAAAGTATTAATAGTGATTGATTAAAATATCCTTATAAAATTTTAAATTAATAAATTTATCCTTAAATAAATAATTTTTACTAATTTATTTAAATTTAATTTAAATAAACTAAAATTAAAAATAGAGTCTATGAGAAATTAAATTACTTAAAATTTTCAAATTTTAATTCTAAAAATGTTAAAAGTAACTGACTAAAATAATCTACATAAATTTTTTATAAATTTTAATTTAAATAACTTTTTTATTATTAGACTTTTTTTTTTTAACTAGATTCAAAAGTTATTAAAAATGACTAACTAAAATACATTTAATAAAATCTTAATTTCAAAAATATTAAAAGTGATTGATTAAAATATCATTGTAAAATTTTTTTATAAATTTTAGTTTAAGTAAATTTTTTAGTTTTTGCAATTAAACTTATATTAAGACATAAAGCATGATTTTCACATCAAATAAAATAGAAATATAACACGATCAAAACCTATTAGTGTGCATAGGAATAAAAACATTATATGAAGTTTGTTTCTTTAGTATTATAAAAACAATTGCACATGGAGTTTATGTTTACAGATAAATTCATTAAAAATAATCATAATTAAATCATTGAAATAAATTTGTTTTTTTTTCTATTTTTTGCTTTTCAATTTTTTGTTTTAATTAATTTACAAAATATATACGTATATTAGTGATTTTATTCGTTGTATGTTTATGAGTTTATCATTTGATTAATGATAACATAATTAAATTGTTTTAGTCACTTAAAATAATTTTTGAATATATATCATTCTTATAGTTTAGCTTAACCTTTATAATTTTATTTTTTTTTGCATTTTTTCCCTAAAATTTTATAAACAAAAACTAATATCAAAACAAATACAAATCATTTGCACACATTCCAGCAACAATTAATACTACATGAGTAATTTATTTAACACTTTGAACAATTAGCAAAAAATAAGATGAAAGATTAACTTGTCATGCATTATCTTCTCCATATGATAAATAATGTTAGTGATGTACGATATTTAAATGAAGAATATACAAATGTGTTGATTTCAAATTTTCTAAGACTAATTTGAAACTCTTTTATTGGAAAAAATTGTATAAATTTTTTAGGATTAGTATAAGGACTTATCTAAGTAAAGTTATAAAGTTTCAAGAGCTTTTTTTATTATTTTAGTCATGCTTCATTTTCTCGATTATATCAATTGATGAATTATCACTATTATATCTAAATATTTAAGGTTATCATATGAGGTAATATTGTTCAAAAGTATTAAAATTTATCAAATTAATTATTAGTATTACATTTAATATAAAAATATTATTATAAATTATGATTTAACTAAATTTAAAAGTGATTTAATTAAGGGCATTCATTAGATAAATTTTTATTTAATTGTGTATTTTGTATTTCAATCATTTTGAATTTTGACTTTTCATAATTTTGAGTAGATTTTAAACTTAGAATCAATGTTTAACTAAATTAAGTCAAATTTTACAATCCGCTTCTATTCATAGTATATTCAAGGGTTAATGCCATCAATAACCCTTACACTATAATGAAATGTTCAAAGTAGTACCTAAATTTTAAAAATTTCTATTGTGGCATCTGAATTATAAATGTGTTATATTCTTAATGTGGTTAACTCCAAATGATGAAACGTGATGAATAAACAACCCTTCAAGTAAGATATTAGTTAACAGATATAATTTAGGTATCATATTACAAATTTTTAAAATTCAAGTATTATATCAAACATTTTACTAGAGTTTAGTGCAAATTTAGTGCATGTTTGATAATTAGTCAATTATTAAACATATTTGCTTAATTTAATGCAAATTGAACATTTTGAACATTCATGACATTAAACCTATACTTAATTATTCACTTATGCACCAAAACAATTTTAACTTAATAATTAGTGCATGCTTCTCTTTGTTTAAAAAACTAGATTCAAATCATCTTAAATCTAAATAAAAAGAATGATACTCAATTACTTATAATTGTAATTTTATTTTAACAATATTATTTAAAATCAATTAAGTAATTCAACTACAAAAACAATAAAATGAGACATTAAAGATGATGGAAAAAAGTTCAAATTAAGAACTTTTAAATTGTTATAGAAGATAAATAAGAATATTGAATTCTGATTAGGTTATTATTTTAATTTGAATTTTGGTTATGCTCAATCATTTCGAGTTTTAAATAACTATTAAGTTGTTAACTTTTTAAAATTAATTGAAATGAGTTAAGTTAATTCATTTTTATAATTATGTGTTATATTAATTCTTAATTAAATTAAAATTTAAAATGAATAAAAAATTTTATGTATACTCTATTTGAGTTTTGAATTGTTTTCAAGTTTGAATTGATTAATTATGTTGTTTTTAGCTATACTTTTATGATATCGACAATAGACTTCAAAATAAAATGAAAACATAACACAATGACAAAAGTTATGAAAATACAAATGATAATTCTAAAAGAAAATCCTTATGCCCAAGTCTTGTAAAGATTAAAGGATACATGCCTTTTGAGGATCTTGAAATTTGTATCGTAGAAATGTTAATATAGATCAATGATTTTATAATTGTTCATTTGGTGATCAAGCTGCTATTATATGAGTTAATGGAAACAACTCTAATATTTCATTTAAAAGAGATATCATAGTTCATACTTATTTCGAAAAACAACATTTAGTTAAACATTTGTTATTTAAGTTATTATGACTTCTTACAATATTTTTTACTCTTTCTAAATGGAGAAATTGATTGGTATCAAAATATGAAAAAAAGGTAATTTTAAATTATGATAATAAGAATAAAACAAAAATTGGGAATATAATCTTTTCATTTTGTAGAAAAATTTTTTGAAGAAGAATATGAATGCAATTATTGTGAACTTATTTTTTAAAAAATTATTATCTATTTTATTTTTATAAATTTTATTTAGTAATTTTTCTCATTATTTTTATCATATATATATATATATATATATAACAAAAATTTCACCCAAAATTATATACTTCAAGATAGAAACATAGGGCAAAGTTTATAATTTTCTTTGTTGCCAAAAACTCTAAAATTTTCAATCTATTATATGCAATTGTATTTTGCTAACAAATATTACAATACATATATTAACAATCAATCAAATCATCAATAAAACTTATCTTAATATGTACTATTTTACCACCAACCAAAAAATTTGAAAAATATCTTTAAAATATTGAATACTGTATATATTAATTTAATTTAATTTTGATATTTACATTATAATAAAACTTATGATTTTAACTTATTATTATGTGTTAAACTACAAATAGCAAATTAAAACCATTTACTCATTGTTTTTAAATTTATCTACACTTTAACGTTTTCTTACTTTCATTTTGTACTTAACAAATTATATCATCTAGCATACATGTGATTACTTTCTTTCTAAATATACACAATTGATAACTTAATAATTAGTTATTGAAAACTTAAAAATAATCAGTATAACTTAGTAATCATTAATAATTTAATAGTAAATTATGGTTAACGTAGTAATAAATTAGTAATAACTTAATAGTAAATGAATAATAATTTAGTAGTCAATAATTGATAACTTAATAACAAATTAATATAACATAATAGTAAATGCATAATAATTTAGTAATAAATAAATTACAATATAGTTGTAAATGATTGACAATATTGTAGTAAATTGGTTATAACTTATTAAAAATAAGTGATAACTTATGAGTTAATTATTGATAACTTAATAATATATCAATGGTGACTTAATAGTAAATTAGAGATAAAAATTATTCAAAAAAATGAACTTATTCAACAAAAAAAGTTAGTAAAAAATTAAAAATTTTAATGAAGTAACAATATTATTATATAAAAGAAATCTATTTTTATAGGGCATGCACTTTGTTACAAGAATCCATTTGGCTATGGGAATCCATTATTAGATATATGATGACACAAATTTTATCAATAATTGTCAAATATATGTTATAAATTATCAAAATTGCATTAAGAGTTTATCAAAATTTTATTAAAGATTATCAAAATTATATCATAAGTTACTAAATTAATATGGAAATTTACCAAAATGATATCAAAAGTTATTAAAATTTTATCAAAAGTTCTCAATCTTTTAACAAAAGTTACCAAAATATATTAAATATTATCCAAATCAAAATTATATAAGAAAGTTATCAAATTTTACTTATATTAGCCCAAAATTAAAATTAAATTATTAATATTTATCATTATTATTATAGTATAAAAAAATCATTTATTGAATTTAATCTTTAAAGATAAAAATATAAAGACAAAAATTACATGTGCGTCATGCACATATCCAAAAGTAAGAATACACTGAAAGGAATGTGTTACATATTTAAGCTCTTGTAAAATCTAAAATAAATGAAATAATTTCTTTTTAAAAATTACAAAACTAATTAATAAATAAGACATATATCAATCAAGCTCCATTTGGATCTGATCGAAGCATCAATGGAGGGTGAAGAACATGTTTTTACCTTGTTTCACACCAGTAAAACCATTTGGATAATATCAGTGTAGCGTGTTTGCATCTAGTGGACTGAGAATTTGAATCGGAGGGGGAAGGCTCTAGTGGAGATTCTCCCCTACCACCGCACCTCATTTTTCCATTTTTAACCTCACTTTCTTTTTTTTACCCTTAAAATTATAGTATAAAGACAAAAAAATCCCTACTATTTTAACTTTTGTTTTTTCTTTTCCAATTTTCTCATTTTGTTTTTATTGAAGAATTTTCGAGTAAATTTTTTAATTTAATATAATAAATAAAATTTTAAAAAACTTCATTTAAAATTTTTATTACATTTAAATTTTAATCTATCATCTTTACTGATCATTTTTTTATTACACTTTACCTCATCGTCAATGCTGTGTTTGTATCCAAACACATTTCGTTATAATGATTAATTTTTTCGTCATCATTATTTTTAATCTCACTATGATTAATTTTATCGTCTATCTAAATAGACCCTTAAATTATGAAATTAAAAAGTTACATTGAAAGTATATAAGAGACTAACTCAATTTTTTTATATATGTACTTATTGAAATATATAAAAAGGAAAGCAATAACATTATCATTGCACAAACTGATAAGATTTTACATTGCTTAACAAATTTAATTATTTGCCATACACATTTTGTCCCAATTACACACTGAATTCCTGCAAAAATAGAAAAGGAGAGCCACACAAGCCTGAGTAGAACAATTTGCATGGGTCAGTGAAACCAGCAAAGAGAAATTAAGTAAATCAATTTTTCATCGCATCAGAACCAATCAACTTGGTAAGCCCAAAAGTAATAGCCATGGCCATCCATCCTCCAACAAGCACCCTGGCGCTGGGCTTCACCACTGGAGTCCCCCCAAGCAATGCACCCACCACCCCGAACACCATCAAAGCCACGCTAGCCACCACAACCACCACAGCCATCCTCACCTTATGTTCCCTTATAAAGGCTGCAGCCAACAGCGGAAGCACTGCACCAACAGAGAAGGCCAAGGCTGATGCTGCAGCAGCTTGTCCTGGATTGGGCAACTGCTTCTTCTCACCTGCTTCCTCATTTTCATGGATCTCCGATTTCTTGTCCTTCTCTCTTTTCATTTGAGCTATCTCTATATCCCTTTGGGTGTATACAGACACAAACTCTCCGATCGCCATGCTGCAGGCGCCGGCAACCAATCCTGCGAAACCAGCAATAACCATGGCTTTGATGTCTTCTTTAACAGAGCCAACACCCATCAGTAGAGATGCAACAGAAACTAACCCATCATTGGCTCCCAAAACAGCAGCTCGAAGCCACTGTCCTCTCTGAGAGTAGTCAAACTCGTTATCGGCAGGTTCTTGAGATTGGTTTTTCTCAGTGACATTGACATGTATAGACAATATCTCAACATTGTCGAGCGATGAAAGTTGAGGGGTTTGAGGGGCAGCCATGAGGTAGAATTAGAATATGATAAGAAATGAAGGCTTGTGGAGGACACACGCCTCTCATCGAGACAATTTATAGGGAAAGATTTGCAATGGTGAGTGGGGTTTGATTATGAATTATGACGGGCACTGGCTCGGCGATTAGGAATGTAGAAGGCACACGCTCATAATAATTATTTTATATTTCCCATTTGTTTTTAGTTCATTTCATTGCATAATTGGAGCCAGCAACGGAGGTCTGATCAATTAATTAATTCAAAACAGTATAGTCTGTTAATATTCCTCTCAAGGAAACCCAGGACCACTCAGTCTTTACACAGAGGTTGATATATTATATTATCAGAAGTTTCAATATCTTACAACTGTCGAGTTCTAATTTTAAATTACAATTAGAATCATCACTGTAAATTTGAAGTAAAGAGCTTGGAATTTTATAATGAGTCCAATGTTTCTTACTCCTTAAATTACATTTTGTATGGCAATCAACATCATTTTTCATTTCCTTTTCTACATCAACCCACATTCTTAGGTTTTTTAATTTGGTAGCATTGCATTTTGAAAAAAATAAATAAATAAATTATCTTATTAAAGAACTAATATATTCAAGAAAAAAACAAAAAAACGAAACTCAATTGGATTTGTGTCTTCCCTTAGCCGGAATAAATTTTATGACAATCATAAAATTAATTTATAAAATACTGAATTTTTTATTATAGTGATAAGAGTTTAATTTTTTATTACATCAATTATAAAATAAAAAAAAGGGTTCAAATAAACTTATTAAGGTTCTATTTAGATGGGAGGTGAAATTAATTGTGGTAATATTAAAAATAATAATAAAAATTACTACAACTATAATTAAAAAAATTTATTGTAATTATAATTTAAAAAAATTAATAAAAAATTATACTTATTTGATTTTATTATAATTAATATTTTAATTCAACTAATGATATAATGAATTTAATCGCTTCGCATAAAAAATGCAATGAAATCCGAAAAGCTTGATTATACAACTGGAGGCTCCTGATTTTGATGTCACTAGTGGAATTATTGCTATAAAATGTGGAAGTAGCAGCTACAGCTTAATATACGCACAGTTTCTTTATAAGTAGTTGTTTTTCTATTTTTAACTTCTCACTTGGCTATAACGTAAATATATCAACTATCAAAACCTCAGGCTATTTTGCGCACCCAAATATCTCATCTTCAATGTATTTGGTAAATATATATATGTTCAACAAATTCCAAGTCCGAATCTTTTTATGTGTTTCAAAACTCAAATTGCTACATTATAGGGGTTTTGATTTTTAGCGGTGTTTTTTTATCGTTTAGTGGCGTTTATTAACACCACTATAAAATTATGGCATTTATGAAAAAATATCATGCAAAGTGTCATCTATACACGCGTCGCGGTAAATAATGGTGTTTTAAAAAAAATGCATCAATATTAACGGTGTTATATCTGAAACGCAGTCATTTTAGTGACATTTATATCTTTGAGATATCGCTATTTTAGAGGCATTTGAATCTGAAAGCAGCTCAATATTAACGACGTTTGTATCTTTTAGTCGCCGTTATTTCAGTGATATTTTTATGAGAAAAACACCATTGCATTGACGACGTTTATAACAGAAAATATCGCTACTTTAGAGGCGTTTGAATAGAAAACACCTCAATATTTACAGTGTTTGTATCTTTTAGGTACTACTAATTCTATTGCATTTTTATGAGAAAAATGCCGTTGCTTTAGTAACGTTTTTATAAAAAAAAAATGCCACCTACCTAAAGGCGTTTGCTTGAAAGAGTGTCGCTACTTATAGTAGCATTTTATGCTACAAACATCACTAAATTATTTATTTAGCGGCATTGCCTAACGCAAATGCCGTCATTATGTAAAAATATATATTTTTTAGTTTCTTATAATAAATTTTATGTTCAGTAAAGAGCTTAAATTCAGAAACTAAAATTAATAGTAACTTCATTCACGTTTAAATATACATCTAATTAATACAAAATTTAATAATTAGTATAATAATATTCAAATATTGTAAATATATACATTAACCAAATAAAAAATTAAAATGTATGAAATGGATTACTACATACATTTTGCTGGCTGTCAATTGATGAAAATAATTTTTCACCTTAGTTACTAGCATGCTCAATAACATATTGAATAATACCATACAATTTTTAATACTTCATTGGATGCTTATTTTTTATTTAAAAATTTTAATATTTACTAAATATAATACTTAAGTTGGTGGAGCACCAAGATCATTTCTTGAAAATTATTATTGCACAAAATTCATAAGATGATCGAATTGATCATGTAACTACTAAAATTTTGTACTTTATAGCTCTATTCTAGCATGTTCTTCTTCAATTTTGGCACGCTCCTGTTCTCTTTCTACTTTCATTTGTTGAAAACGTTGCTGCATAGTTTGCCACTCTCCTCTCAATATTGAAATGTCTCACGAAAACTAACTTGCTGAGAGTGTAAATTACGGAGAGTTATGTCCATAGTAGGCAGATGGTGTTGGACCCAATCCAAGGCCTCAGACCCGTCCATGCTTTTTTTTTCAGCAACTTTTATGAATATCCAATTTTTCTTTTCTTGCATGTTGAGAGAACCTTCAGATGCTACTTCAATCTCAACAGTCATTTTCTCTTTCGTTTTCTCCTATGAATTTGTCATATACAACTATCAAGTTTAATGATTAATTGATTATATGTTAAAAAGAGTTAATATTTACTTTATGTTAAAATAGATGATACAAATTACCATAATTTCTTGTGTTTCGACATTCATGTAAGATCCGTCTTTTTTTATGTGTTACGCGAAAAAGTTTCACATGTATAATTGTACTGCCCATCTCATTCTCCTATACAAAAACATATGTTATTTGATAGGATACATATCAACTACAACTTATTTATGCATATCAATCCTGTCAATCAAGTATTAAAATTTTGAATAATTTTAATCTCTTTTATTTATATTTTGGCCTTGTAACAACACAATAGTCTTAAACATACGCAAAGAATAAAAGCATTTTGGGCTTTCACACATATCGATCATGGAAACCAAATTTAATTATTTCTCTCAATTTAATATGAAGGATTGAAGCCATTTAATATATTGAAAGGCATCCAAAATTTATTTGTATATTTGCCTTTTATATGCAAAAATATTCTCAAATAGACATAACTGATAATTTTTTCTCCTATATCAATCATAGAAACTAAGTTCAATCAATCGGACAAGCTTAATATCAAGTATGGAAGCTATCGAAACTATTAAAATACAACAATAATAACAGCCAGATAATAAAGGCGTAAATATACGTAAACAGTAACTTTTCATACATATCATTTGTGTAACTAAGTTCAAAACTTTCGATAAGTTTAATATCATGTATTAAAACAATCAAATATATTAAAACATAACAATAAATGTTAATTTTCATATTTACCTTGTAACGGAAGAAAAAGTTCATTCATTGGAATAAGTTAATTATCATAAACTTACGATTTCTTTTTGCTTTCTTACAAAACTTTTTGATCCACTTGTGTGGCTATATTTCTGTTGCTTTCTGCTACCAATCCCAATCTGTTCTCTTTCCTATCATAAAAAATAATTACGTATATGATAGAAATACAAATATTACCAATTGAAACCATCAAAAACTTTCATCATTTCATTCTATTATGCAAAGTTATAAACTAGTACCTCTCCGTTTCTTGAGAACCAAAATCTAACCAGTTGTTCATATTGTCACCTAATCACATTACGGGGTAGATTTTGCATTATCACCTCTACAGTAGTATTTTCATCGAAATACTTATTCTTCATACTATGTTTATAATCTTTCCATTTCTTTCCCAATGACTTAAGCACAAATAAAGTTAGTATTTCAAGTACAAATATTGACTGTAACAATACAAGAAGAAATGTTCAAATAAGTAAACAAAATGTAAAATAAAAAATTTAAATATATCTAATTAATTATATTAATACCTCAATAAAGTTTAACGCATCGACCTTAACTTCTTTTGGAACATTATGCCATGTTTCATACTGAATAGCATGCCTAGAAATCCAGCCAATAGTTGAGCCTATTCACCAATTGGTTGCCTATCAAAGTTTGCAGACACTACAATATGCTCGTTAGGAGGTAGTGCAAATAATTCCTTCAAAGTTATCCAGCCTTTGGTCTTCCGTTACCATTGTTATCAACTGCAATAAATATAAAATATATTTGTAAAATCGTAATACTTTTATCATTATACTCGAATTCTAAAATTGGAGTATATCATACCTGCATTCAAATTTAAAGCATAATCAATTGATGGGTACTATCTAAACCTGGACGTCCCATATTGTCAGATCTAATATCAGTTGAAAGGTTAGAAATGACAGAGTTAAATCTGACAGTACGTTTATTTACCTCCAAAGGATTCAATCCATAACCAATATCTACAGGTACCGCAGACGGTTCTAAACTAATATCTCTAATATATTTTTCCTTCAACCTATTTCTTCACATTATAGCTTACCTACATCACAAAAGGGAATATAAAAAAAATGTTAGTTCAGAAGATATATAAAGACATTTTGAATTTAAGAAATCAAAACCTATGATATATAAAGAACATATCGATTTAATTAAATCAAAATATAATGTATGATTTAGAAGACAATAATTATACAATAGTGAATGTGACATTATTTACATACTATTATTTACTACATTATGTCCCAAACACTCGAATTACAAATTATAGGTGCACGAAATCATGGTTCATAAATGTCTTTAGTAACATCTTTATGGACCCACTGAGCATAGATACTAGAGATATTCTCATCCAAGTTTTGTTCAGCAAAAGGATAATATTCAGTTCCATGTTCAACATCATTTTTGGTATCTAACTCCATATCAAATACGTCTCTAGGTGTGTTTCGAAAAATAACAAACCAACCCAATTCTTTCGGATCTTCAAAGTAAAATACTTGTTGGACTTGAGATGAAATACATAAGGTTCATCGATGAGTTATTGTCCAGTGTGAATTAATCGAAAAAAATTCACAAGTGTAAATCTGTATTGATTTTTTTTAAGACCCATCGTACTATTCACATCAGCCAATTACACCGAAATAAAATAACTTTCCACTTGCCATAATAATCCAACTCAATGATGTCATTAATCATGTCATAATAGTCAACATTTTCCTCTAAAGGGTTTGTGTCCCTAGCACTAGCATAACTAGTAGTTGATAATGTCACAAAAACTCCTGAATTTTGTGTATTTCTAAATCTTTGATGAGATTTGGTGTGAAATCTAAATCCATTGATGATGAAACCTTTGTATCGTTTCACAATCCGGTTCGGACCATGTGAAAGACACTTCACCTCTTCACCTTCCATTCCAAACCTATAAAAGTCGAATAAATATATATATGTTATTAATGTTATTTTTACCGTAAGCATTCTATG